TACCAAAACCCTGACTTTGCTGTTGCCACAACCAGCTAACTCCAATAAACCAGCTGCAATTGCCACAATATAGGGTGATTTGTTAAATGGATTTTAAGATGAGTCTAAAAAAAACAAAACACACATACACCACAGCTGTTTGAGCTTCATTACCCACATTATGTTCTAAGCTGTAACAGTCCCATTTTTTAAAGGGTTTTTCTGCTCTCCTCTTTGGCTAAGGATGTACAATTCCTATTACAGCTGATTACCAGCCATTAAGTTGTGCAATCATGTGAACTTCTGTCTGAAATAACCATTAATCTTCAGCACTACATCCAATGCATGTATAGACAATATATGTTGCAAGTGTTGCATACACATTCTCATACCTAATTTCTAATATCTGCTGGTTTATTTCCTTGAAATCTCATAAAGAGCATTATTACTGTAATATGTACTTATCTTAAATGAAAAATGTTTGCTCATTTACACTATTTGGTTTGAACTCAGCCAAGTGATTCTCTTGTTTTATCAAATAATGACACTTTTTTGTTTCCTTGGCTCCATCTACTGGTACCCACAGGAAGAAGCATGATTACCTCATACACTTAACATACATTTTTTTTTACACTTAAAAAAAATTATGGTCGTTTTATTTCATTATTCTGATCTTACTGTTAAGGCTGCAGTTTAAATATAATGTACTCAAATGGACAGATTACTCTTTTACATTTCTTAAATCTTGGTACATGTCCAACGTAGGCAATTAGTAAGAAGTTTTGTTGATTTAAATCTACTTAATAGAATAAAAATTCTTTCACCACCAAGACCCCACACAAAAACCTCCCTGCACAGCTCAGAATTGAGATAGCCCAGGATATGTCTACACTACCCTGCTAGTTCGAACTAGCGGGGTAATGTAGGCATACCGCACTTGCAAATGAAGCCCGGGATTTGAATTTCCCGGGCTTCATTTGCATAAGCGGGGAGCCGCCATTTTCAAAACCCCATTGGTTCGAACCCCGTGCATCATGGCTACACGGGTCACGAACTAGGTAGTTCGAACTAGGAATCCTAGTTCGAACTACCTAGTTCGTGCCCCGTGTAGCCGCGCTGCACGGGGTTCGAACCAGCGGGGTTTTAAAAATGGCGGCTCCCTGCTTATGCAAATGAAGCCCGGGAAATTCAAATCCCGGGCTTCATTTGCAAGTGCGGTATGCCTACATTACCCTCCTAGTTCGAACTAGGAGGTTAGTGTAGACATACCCCCAGAGAATAAAAGATCCATTAAGAAGCACTGTCGGGTTTCAATTTCATTTCAAAACTCTCCAATTAAATGCCTGAAAAAACGGTCTTTAAAACCAAAGTTTGTTGATAATATTTAAAGTGTTTTTTCCAGGGTTTCCTGCTTCTGATATTTATTTGAAAAAAATGGGGAGGAGGCCAACAGCCAAAGTGACTAATGCTGGGCACGTAGTATTTTCCTATCCTGCAAGAATTTGAGATTAAAAAAATAAAAGTTCCAATCTCAACTGGAACAAAATTGAAATCTCAAAACCTGTCATCAACCATCCAAAATACACCAAAAAATCAATTTGGATTAATCAAAATGTTTAGTTAGATAATTATGAAACACTGTTTCAATTTCAATCGTTCCTTTTAAAAAAGTGAAATTTCAAAATAAGTCACTTTGAATTGAAAACCAAAAATGTTTACTTATAAGATATAAAAAATGTTTTTGTTTTACTATTTTGAAATTTGTTGAAACTGACTAGAGGCTGCGGGGGGGGGGGGGAGGGGGAAGAGGAGTGGGAGAGAAAAAAAAGAAAAGAAAATTTCTCAACCAGCTTCAAGAATGACTAATGTGCCCCCATTTTTCCTCCTATGTACATATTGCTTCCCAATTTCACCTCCTTTTCATGGTGATTAAATGAAATCAGTAGCACAAGATTTAAAAACCTCTCCTACTCTTCCATTTGCTCTGTGTAGTTTAATCTTGATAATTACAGGACAACTTTACACACAAAGGCATTAAAGCTAAAAGAAAATCCTGAACTAACTGAAAAAAAATGCTGATACTTCACAACCAGACACACATTGAGGCTGTTCTCACAAGATGACATGGTCAGAACGGACTCAGTTCAGGAATTTCAAATGTCTAACAAAAAATCCTAATTTCTCTGTTAAAGTCTACAAAAAGCCTTTCAGAAATAAAAATGAGCCTTCTATCATAAAAACCCAATAAATGTTCAGTGTTGGCAACACAAATCTTCTCTACTTTGCATTCTTTGTTATTTCTGTTTAATTCTCACAATAATTGCATCTCATTTGCTGTTGGGACAGTTGGGAGTGCCCATGGGTGATTGGTGCAGCTGCGGCTAGAGGCAGCAGCACCCCAGCCCCACCCCCACTGCTGACACCCCATCCCCCATGGGGAGGGGAGGAGGCAGGCAGCATGCCGACTGTGCCCCAGACTCCCTGGAGTACCTGGGAGGGGAAGAGAGGTGAGGGGGCATGTGCCCCACCTCCTCAAAGAGGAAGGGGAAGAGAGGCGAGGAGCGCATGTGTGCAGCAGGCCCTCCCTCCCCCACCTCCCTGGAGCAGTAGAGGTGAAGAGAAGTGAGGAACCGTGTGCACATAGTGCAGCTCCCCAGCCTCCTCGGAGCACTGGGGGAGGGGAAGAGAGGTGAGAGAGCACCGGGAGAAGGAGGAGGCCGTGCAGTTCCAGTCTCCCTGGCCCAAAGCATGGGGACAGCGGACACTCGGGGCAGCAACACTCAGCCCCCAGAATGCCTACAGCAGGCGTTCCAGGGTTGGAGTATAGGCAGGGCCAGGCTGGCGGTCTTGGAAGGCAAAGCTACTCTTCGCAACTCAATTCAATACATCTCTTTGTGTCTTCACAAAGAAAAAAATCTCTCACTTGGCTTCAAACAACAGGTTATTTCATAGGATCCTGCTCACTAGAAATAGAAACAAGAAAAAACAACATATGGGTTTGGCACTATAATTTAATCCACTGATTTCAAGAATCACCTTAACTTTCAACTCCATTATTGAATCAAGGAATAAAGACCTGGATGAAATCCTGTGCTCTACTAAAAGCAATGGCAATACTATTGATTTCAGAACTTCAACCATTGTTTTCAAATGTGCCAAACATATTATAAATGCTTTCAAAACTTCTAAAGGGTTTTCCTTGTGCTGCACATAAACTATAGGAAGTCACAAAGGAAAAAAAAGCTGGTTCTTAATTTACTATAGGACCTGGAGGCTGCCCTAACAATTTTTTGTCTTCTTTTCTGTTTAAAAGTTGATGCAGAAAATGGGAAACTTAAAAAAATAAATGGTTTCAGGATACTTTGACTTGCATGCCCATAATTTATCAACTTCTCCCCAAATTGCGATTAACTTTCTGCTGATAACTCAAGTGATAACTCAAAAATAAGTAGGAGAGAAAATTACCATTGCCTCACCCCTGATTTTTTGCATCAAGTGGAAGTTAACATTTCTCTATTCAAGAGAAACAGTGCTGGAAGTGCAGTTTTATCAATTAGAAAGGTCTGCTGTTTAGTGAAAACTATTACTGAGCCATAGCCATTTAAAAACACCAATACAGTTTTCTGGCTTTGAGGATGAAGGCCACTAGATAGAACCAGTTTCCTTGAAAGATACCGTTAGTTGGAGAAACAAGGTCAAGAAGTCCTGGCACATCTAACCTCACCTGCACTTGAACAAAGGGTTTAACTGGCAATTATATTCGCAAATATTTATTTGCTGCACCACATGCCACATATTTGTTTTTATATATGAAAAGCCAACCTTTGAGAAAGAGAAGTTGTTTGTTCCACTGGCATTACTTGAGATTTCCACTTCATGCAACTGACAAAGTGATTTTTACCCACAAAAGCTTATGCCCTAATAAATCTGCTTGTCTTTAAACTGCCAAAGGACTCCTTATAGATTAGTATAGACTAACACAGCTATCCCTATGAGACTAGCTACAAAAACACCATGCAAAATGCCTATTCTCACTTTCAGGTGACATTATTAATAAGAAACAGGTAGCATTATCTCCTGTAAAAGTAAATAAACTTGTTTGTCTTAGTAACTGGCTGAAGACAAAGCAGGAGTGAATGGACTTATAAGCACTAAAGTTTTACATTGTTTTGTTTAAATGTGCAGTTACATAACAAAAATATTTTTTAATTTTAGTGTAACAATTTTAAGTTACATTTTGATGATAAAAGAATTGCACTATAGTACTTGTAAGATGTGAACTGAATATAAGAATAGCCATACTGGGTCAGACCAAAGGTCCATCTAGGCCCGTATCCTGTCTGCCAACAGTGGCCAATGCCAGATACCCAAGAGGGAGGGAACACAACAGGTAATCATCACGTGATCCCTCTCCTGTCATCCATTTCCAGACAAAACAATTGTTTTTTTCCGTTTTCCAGAACTAAAAAATGCTATTTCTTTTGTTTCTTTTTTACAGTACAAAAAGCTGTAATAATAATATGAAGTGAGCAAAGTACACTTTGTACTCTGTGTTGTAACTGAAATCAATGTATTTGAAAATGTAGAAGAATATCCAAAATATTTAATCAACTTTATTGGTATTTTAACAGTGCGATTAACTGTGATTATTTTGTAACTAATCATGTGAGTTAATTGTGATTAATTCACAGCCCTAGTATTTTGTTTCTTCTCCAATAAATTCACTGGAGTGGCTATGCCTCTATAAAAACTGGCATTACAAGCAGAATTGTGCGCCTCAAAATCACACTATTGTAGTTAAGAAACTTTTGCTTACTTAATGGGACATAAACTTTGCCAGAGGACCGACGTGCAGAATAGTTCTGCAGAGGTGATTCACTAGTGCACTGGGCCAGAGATCTCATGCAGGAGAGCATGTCAGACATATCACTTAAAAGATGCAGTCAGCAGAAAAGACACCAAAATAGAGAAACTTGTGTCTTATTAGCTTTCAGTGCCAAAGAACAGCTCTCATACACTACCTTTCATTCTTTTTCAACTCCAAAGCACTTGTTGATTTCCTTGCAGGCCTGACACTTTGTAGAGGAGGAGGTTTAGTGATAGGCGTGATGAGAAGGGCATCCAAGAGCGAACGGTAGACGTTAAGATCAGAGAGTCTAGTAAGCATTTAGAAAGACCTGCTAAATAAATACACTAGCCATCTACACAAAACTGAAAATTAACAGGAGCTACTAAAAGAATATGCGAGGTCTGAGCTTCACAATTGTTTCCATAATAGCGTGATAAGAATTGTAAGTGAAGTGATCACTCCCTTGAGAGCTTACTGAGAAATGATGTCAGTGTCTGCAAAATCATTTAATAACTGAAACCATAATAAATGTATAGCTTGTGGCATCTAAGATCTAAAAGCTGTTAATAAATATCAATTAATCCTCAACCATCATGCGAGGCAAAGCGGTATTAATTCATCAAGATAGAAAATGGGCATCACAAGACTCAGAAAAACTAAAGTTATTACCCCAATCTCAGCCAACAGCAGAGTTGGGAATAAAACACAAGAACCGTGACTCTATTCTAACTCCATGCACATACCACTAAAGTGATAGTTAACTGTTTCCAATATTGCATCTCCCCCAGTTAGCTCCTTTATGAAGCATGTGCTTTTTGAAACTGATTTACAAAAATTTTAAAAAGGCTGTCTTGCAGGTGACTACTACCTGGCCCGTACAGCAACAGCAGCAGACACAGTGGCGGCAGCACCACTCATGTTTTTTGAGCTCTGCCTGGAAGAAGGAACAGGGATGGGAGAAAACTTTGGCAGATCTTCCAATGGATTTTCAGGCAGTGCTTTTTTAATGTAGAAGCTTTGACTGAAAAGGGGAGAAAAACAGAGAGAAAAGAAAGAGTTCTCAACAAAAAGTGCAAACAGCTTGAAGTAATCACTGAAAACTGTGCCATCATTGAAGTGCCATTTCAACACTTAAGTTGATGGAAATACTTCTGTTGAATCCATTGACCCTTTAAACATTAATATGGAAAAACTGATTTTTCTTATAAAAAAAGACTCTTCAGTGATCAATTCAGCTTGCAGAAAAAGCTCTAACTCAGTACAACTCACAACTTTGGGCCCCTATCCTACAACTAACTCAGTGAGGGTGCAGGAGTCCACTCACACACAGCCTGTTGTAGGATCAGGGTCTTGGATTCTCTGTCTAATTCTCCACAAGAGCTTGAAGGTTATTCTGAAAGTTATTCTGCTGATGGTCTCAAAAATCAGAATTGGCATAATATACCAAAAACAGCATTAAAAAGACATTAAAATACAACAGCACTAGAGCACAATCATAACTGACCTTTCACAAAAATGTTCTTTATTTTCAGATTTTTCCCTCTATTCTCCCCCACCTTGTGACCTTTTTTTACCCTCCACTCTGGTTCCCCCACCCATAATAACAGACCAGAAGAGCAAGAAGAATAAAAAGAAAAGGGTAGGGCATGGGAGGAAGACAAAGAAAAAAAGTCTGAAGATGAAATATTTTGAAGAAAAGTATTTTGAAAAAATAAAAAATGCTAAAAGGTCCATTTAGAAGCCTGGAAAATTACAATTGTTTTCCCATTTTTAAGTCTGTTTCAGAAATAATTCAACCCAATATGTCAATAACAACATCTTATTGTACAGCTTTGATGTAAATGGAGATATTGTCATGCTTACACTTAACAGTCTGCTCATATCATAAGCTTTACCTTGTATGATTCAAAGATGATCTAGTCTGAGAGCTTGCGACTTTATCAAAAGGGCTTGTTTTTTCAGAAGGGACAAACACATCATGCCTGCCCAAAATAAGTATCAAGAGGGGAAAACAAAACACAATATGTATAGCTATCATATTTTAGGCAACATTAGCAAGACTCATGAAATCCAAATGAATATGACAAAATAAAACACTTGCTTTCCAGAAAACAAAGTCAAGTTCAGGGTTAATATTACTAAAAGCAGCAAGCCTTACCAAGTTCTATGCTGGCAATTTGTATATTTGAAAATCAAACAATCAGCTACTAATGGGAAAACTTGATCTATTAAAGTTACCCTTTCATTGCACTTTTTAGCAGAAGTCAACATACTGTTTTGGTAAGGGACTAATTCCGTTATGGCACTTCATCACAAAGTCCAAAACAGCATTTTGCTGTATTATGCTTCCATTACTTCCTGTTAGGGGATAACGTGGCAATGCACATTTATAGCACCACACACTAATTCTGGGGGAATTCTGCACGAAAAAAAAATGGAAAATTCTGCACAAAGTGTTTTCAAATTCTGCAAAATCTTGCATATTGTATTTGTCAAAACAACACTATATAATATATAATAATCACACCAGTTTCATTTATTGTAAAATACCTGCCAACAAGTATATCTGTGACAATACAGGTAACAAAAAAGATTCTGAAAACTTTTTTTGACTAACAGATTCCTTACTGAGGCATATTAATACAGAATTCTGAGTAATTTGAATGGCAGTTGGGTGGGAAAAGTGTGTAACAGGGTTGTTTTTTTGGGGGGGGGGGGGGCCCTATGCAGACTCTGGCTGACCCCTAGCCTCTGCTATTCCATCAGCAACATCTGTCCCTGCCCCCACCATATGTTCCTGCAACCCCAGTTCACCTGTCCCTCCACCCCCATTCAGACATCCACTCCCCATCACCTGTAACTCAGCACCCCTCCCCCCGTCTGCGTGTCTCCTACTTCTCCCTGTAGCTCTGTATCCCTTCTTCCTCTACCCAGGACACTGCATCCCCACTCCCATTCAGTCTCTGCCCCAGTCTGTTCTCCCACACTAGATTCTTTCTTCCCTAGCTGGGGGGAGCAGCTGCTATGTTCTATTGCCACAGTGCCCTCTGGTGGGCAAAATGCAGAACTGCAGCAGAGATCCAGCAAAAAAAAAAAAAAAAATCAATAAGCATGGCTCATTGATTATGCACATGGGCAGTTGTGCTCAATTCCCCCAGGAGTATAAAATGAGATGAACCTACATTATTTTATATTATTTCTATTCCAATTTTCATGTAGCCAAGATGTGTGTACCTGTTAGGCACAGAAGGCACGGATTCCACTGGTTGGCCTGCAGAAGGTGGCTCCACCGATACAACTGCGAGCAAGGATTGCTCAGAGGTCTGTGTAGCTACTGTGTGCTTACAAGATAGAGAACTTCCTTTACCAGCTTCATTTGTCATTAAGGTGGCTGGACCTGGAGCACTCAACTCTGCAGATTGAGATATTTTCCTATTTGATATCAATATGACAGGAAGTATTTTATTATTAGACCAGAGATGCAGAAGCATTGCAACTGGAATTCTTTATTTAATAATAAAAAAAAATAGCTGCTATTTCAAACAGGGGCTTTTATTTGTGACAAGGTGCGACTGGTAAAAGCCAGCACAGCACAGGGACTCTTCTATTGTACAGGATGAACCTCTCTAGTCCGGCACTCTCTGGTCGAGCAACATCCATGGTGAGGCATGTTTTTGGCCAAGTTTCCTGCAGTCCCATAAAGATTGATAGTCCTTATCACCAGTGTTCCGTGTTGTTATTTAGCTCTAATTTACCCCTAAATGGCTTCTAAGAGGCCAGTAAGCAGTGGAAGTGTTGATAATGCTGCTAGACAATAGTGACCTCCTATTGTTCAGCAAATTCTCTGGTTCAGTATCAGTCAGCTCTCCAGGGTGCCAGACTAGAAAGGTTCAACCTGTATTATCTTCCAGATTGACATAAAATGCAGCAAGAAAAACGGGACCAGCCACAACTGCTTCTTCATGGCAGCAACTTCTTCCAAGGTTTAACTGTGGCAGCTTACAAACAACTTATTGATCATCAAAATCAATGTATACATTTTAAAAGTCACAATTCCAACAATTTCTGATATACTTGCAACAGACGGTGTGACATAAACACTACCTAATGTAAGTAGATGCCACCTTGGACAGTGTGGCTACCTGGCTACTGATATTTAAAACCTGAACAATAGCAGGTGGATGAGGTGCACACTTAGGTAAGGCCTCCAAAGGGTTGTCAAACAAGAGTTTTCTAAGGCAAAAGAAAGCAGAGATATAAGTAGCATACTAAGCAGACAAAATAAACATAATCCTTCCACCTCCCCCAGAATCAAAGTGTACAGTCTCCAAGGAAAATAATTACTTTGGTTGTAAATTAATAATAAAACATACAGACTCTGCTAGTACGTGTGTGCATAGACCCCCCCCCCCCCATTTTCCCATTTACATGAAGTTTTGTAGGTTTACAAATTTTGATCAATTTTCAGATTTTGGAAGGAGGGTGGGCACTTCATGCAATTTTTCCCTCTTTTCCCCCAACCAAACCAGGAAATGGCTCAACTAAAAATACAGAAAAAAAATATTTTCCCAGTTCTATGCACACATTTTTTAAATGACAGACATGGGGATTTCCAATTATTTTCTACAGCTGCCTTGAATTCAATGCCTACAGTTCCACTGATTTTACTGGAATCTGTATCAGGTCCTAAATGGAGAGATAGTTTGACATCACATACCTCTTTTAGGGAATTTTTCAGTCACATTCGGATGTATACTTTTTTCTTATAGAATGGTTATTTTACTTTATTTGGCTAGAAAAGGGAATTATTTTACTACTTTTGGAAGTGTCCAATAAAACCCTGAAGATTACAGTTATTTCAGAGTATACTATAGGCTGCCTTCTAAATAGCAAGGGCACGTCAAGATTTGACTATTCTTTTTTAATACCATATAGTAAGGACGCCTACTTCAAATACTAAGAATACCTAATAGCTTTCTCATTTAAAAAGTAAAGTGTAACAGGAAAATGAGGATCTATGCTAGTTTAGAGAATATAAACACAGAACATAAGTGATGAAATTAAGTCAACTGACCCTCGAATTGCCTCTTTCTGTATAAACATACACACACACACACACACACACACACGATGGCTTATATAGCAATTGCTCATTAACTTCTGATGTTCATGGTTTTGAAAATAAGCCTTTTTTGGCTATCAGTTTAAGATGTATCCTACTTAAAGAGCATTTGAGACAACACCCTTTCATAGCTTAATGAAAACAATGACCTTGATTCAACAGAACACCAGAAGTGGTTCATTATTTTCAAGTGCCCTTACTTCTACCAAAATATGCACAGAAATAATACAAAGCTGCTCACATTAGGAACTGTCTGGGTGTTCTGGATTACTTTTCCTTGTAAGCATGAGGTGATACATGATTGGACCCTACCAAACAAATAGGTTTGGGATTTTTTTTTTCCTTCATAGGGATAAGCCCAAGCTTATCGGGTAATCATGTAGTCAACTACATGTTGACATCCCTATTGTAAACTAGTTCAGTTTCAGGCTGGCATATTCTAG